GAGTTTCTATTTCAGTACACAGGAACCACTAATCACATTAAAATACCATAATTCCATAAACATAGCTAAATATATTTCCATGCTTATCATACTATTGTTAGTAATAAATAAATATCATTAATCATATCATTACAATATCTATATATAATCCGCAGCAACTGATCTATAAAATCGTGTACACTAAAAAAAAAGACAATGCACTCGACTCGAAAAAAAAAAGGCTTCGTATAATATATCAGTTTCCGGACAACGAATACAGCCTTATGCAAACTTAAACCACGCCCGCCATCACGCCTATATGAAGATCCTGCATCCCTTTCACCCACCAGATAAATCATATATCCATCTCACGCAATTGTATACCGCCTCCGCATTTTCAGCAAGGAGTTTTTAGTTGTCGTAAAGACATCGCGGTGGATCGTCGCCTGCGGAAAAGTTGGCGCGAAAAAAAAAAAACCGGCCGCCATTTTTTTTTCGCCAGCCGCGCTTTTTTTTGACAGCGCTCATCAATAACGTAATGGTGATACGGTTTTTTTTGACTGGTTCTAGTGATGTGCGTGTTTGTTTTGGTGCAAGGTAATTATAGATGGCTGGCGTCAAGACGATTTTTATCGTGAGTTTTTTTGTTTAATATTAGTTTTAGTTTGTGTTATATTTGTATTTTATTTACATTGATAATATTATTACAGTGTTGAATGCTAATCGAAGCTAATTTGTTTTTTAAAATGTGTAATCTAGACTTGATAAATCTGTGAAATAATTAAGTACGTAAAAAAGGTTTCTCAAATTTCAAACTTAAGTGCAAAATACTTATCGTATTAAAAATAAGTATAATGAGCTTGAAAAATCGTCAAACATATGAAATAAAATTTTAAAAATCCGGCGGAAAGACACGTGTTTTGCTAAGTAATAAAAACTATACATACCTAGTTTATTTTGTTTTTTACCATATCCACCTTATAATAAAATGTATATTTTAACACGAGAATACTTACATAATTTCAATGATTACATAATTCATATATATTTTTATTATGAATTAAATTTTGAAATCAATTTGAAAAAGATTAAACAAGTTATAATCTATTTAAATTATTTTTAAAAGAGACATATATAAAACTTTATCATAATTCACATAATTTTGACAATAATTTATATTTTACATTATATTAAATTTAATGAAAATTTTAAGATCTTTAATATTGATAATAAAAACGTCTTAAATCGAGTATATATAAAAAAATCTCAATCAAATACATAGAATATATATAAGTTAAAAAAAATCAGTAATCGCATGAAATAGTTACAAAATACAATGTATGTATAGTAAAGTATTTTTATGAGTTTGGTCTTAAATAACTTCACTAATACTACTAAAGCGGTCATTGACCCCATAGATATGGTTAAATAGACATTTCTAACATTTCGCAAATTTGTTACCATTATATATGGTGTGTGTCAATCGTTTTCTTGTAACCTGTAGTTACATTTTAGTCGTGGTTTTTCGATTAATTTTTCACATATCTTTTTTATGTAATGAAAATTTAGATAAAGTTTTTAAAATTATGTAAAAAGAGTTATTTTTTTTATTAAGAAAGAATATATTATTAATATTCCTACATAGTTGTTATAAACAATATTTTTTATCGAAAAAATGATTTTTATAGGTATAAGTGATATAAACGAAAATAAACTATTATTTTGAAATGCTCATATTAAAATATTATACAATCAATTTTGAAATCAAATAATGTCATACAATTTCAGTTTTTTAATTTTCAAATCAATCAACAGAAGGATTATTTTGTGAATTAATTTTACTTAAATGATATGAATTTAAAATATATTATTACGAAATATTTTTCTGCTTGTATGAAATTAAATCGTATCATAGTTCATAAAATATTATATTTTAATTAATAAGCTATTCAAATGATAATAATTAGACATCCAAGTAGATATTTTTCATTAAGAAGAAAAGAGACGGTTAAATTTAATAAGTACAAAAGTAAGTTTAGTTAATATTTAATCCATGGAAATGATATTCCGACAAAATTAAGACTTATGTATAGCAAAGTTAATAATTTTTAATTATATACACAAAAAATGAAATAGAGTATAACTATAGTTATATTATTTTTATGATTTTGATGATAAATTTAATATTAAGGATAGATTTTAAACTGGAATTTAACTATCTTAAAAAACGAGTAGCATCGTAATCTGTTCAGCTATTTTAGTGTAATGGAACAACAAACACACATACAAAAATGTTTTTCATATCAATGACTATATAATGTGTACACTTTTATACTTAAAAGGTAAAATTAGTTAAAAATAATTATTTTTATATACAGTTGTATAAATATTTGAATAATTTGATTATAAATATACTAGTTGTTATTTGCGACTTTGTCCGTTTCGGTTTCGTATTTGCTAGAGAATTACCATCACGGAACGAACTATGCTTGTAAAAAGTCATTGTTTGTTGAAAATATAGTAGATTTATATAATGAATATAAAAATAATTAATTTTTAATATAAAATTTTGTTAGAAATTGAAGTTATAAAATTTCTTTGTATATTATCTAATTGTATCTTGAAGTGCGTATAACATACTTCTATAGTAATATTTTTATATATATAAAATATATACTATTATACTATAGTTAAGATTTTATTAATAATTTTTTAATGAAATTTCCAATTAAATACGTAAAATATTATTATTATTTATAACTATAGTCTATAATAAATAATTTCTATGGAATAGTTGAGATGTGAATGAATATTATGTAGAATTATTATTATTATAAATATTTAAATATTGGCAAACATACATTTTTAACTTCAAAGGGATTAATGGTAAATTAATATTTTTATACAGTTTTCTTACTTTTTTTTCATATTTTCATTAAAAATTTATTGAAACGTTCAAAGTTATATATAATAGTAGTGTTTTAAAAATATATAATTTTAATTTTTAACTTTTTTATATCTCACGTTTGTGTGTGTTTGTGTGTGTGTGTGTATGTGTGTGTGTTATATTTGCATTAGTATTAAACTCGGTCCTCATATAATAACTATTTTAATTCCAACAACATTTATAAACAATAAACACTATTATTAACGAAAATTCTTGTTGAATCTTATTTTTACTGAAATCTTATATAAATAATTTGTTATTTAACATAGTTACTTTAGTTTGTAAGTTAAATCAAAATTTGTCCAGCCGTTTGATTGTGGATATATGCAAACTTGAAAAATGATAATAAATTTTAATATAGGTATATGGAATAGTTTAAAGCAGAAATATATATCAAAAGAGTTTTTATGGCTTACATTATAATTGAACGGCTGTTGGTCAGTTTGTTTATTTATTGAAAACTATTAAACGGATTTCGATATCAATTCATATTAAGGAGAAGTTATAGTTAAGGAGACGACGCTATAATAAATATGAAACTCAAACAAGGAGTTGTTATATATTTACATAAATATTAGTCCATATTTTTTTTCATGTAAATGATATGTTTTCTTCACCATGCTCTATGTTTTTGAAGGCATTTCAATCGCAATCTGTTTAGCCGTTCATGATTAATAAATATTATAATGTTCTTAAAATAATAGTGTTAATAGCTTATTATATAATTCTTAATAGGCTTAAAGAATTATATATGTATGTGTGTTTGTATGTTTATAAAAATATATCTATGTATATTAACTGTGTATGTTATTTCATAATAAATATCTTCTTGATGTCACATCTAAATATAAATTGATTATTCTAATTGATTAATATAATATAATTATTCTGATACTAAATTATAATACGTGTGGGCGTGCCTGTGGGCGTGCCGGTGGGCGTGGCCAGCCGGGTCATTGAACCCACGGATGCGATAACACGACTCTATAATATTGACTCTATATGGTGTGCTTTAGTAACGTCATTAGCAATTCTATGACGGCTAACTACGGAAATAGATTTGACATACAATTAACAGCCTTATTATATATGAATAGAGATCATTATAGAATGGTGATGGTATTCAGGTTGACAGTATGAGGCTGTTAGTTTGAAGCAGTACTAAAATATATATATGACTAAACTGACCTTTGACGTTAACAGTATTCTGTATTCTTTCCATTTTTTGAGGGTAGAATTGATATTAAATTTCAATGTTAAATCTGTTTTTTTTAATGAAAGTTTGTATGAGATTGATTGAATTGGCGGGTTACGCTCTAAATACATCTCTCGTACTGAATAAAGATCCGCCTTACGGGTTACAGTTTATAAAAAAGAAGAAAATTTTATTAAATATTTTTGTATAACACACTTAAATTCTAAAAATAACTCTAACATCTGGCTATATCTTAAACTTATTATTAAAATATTTATTAGGACTATATACTGCGTCTTTAATATTTGTTATAAATAAACAAACAATAATTAATGCTCAAACCTTCTCCATGTGAGGAAGAGGCCTTACAGCAGTGAGCTTCTGATAGGCTGATGACAAATAAACACTCGCTCAATATATGTATTATAATAATTTATAGCAAAATCTAAAATACAACAAAAAAACATCTACTAATAAAACATATTTTATTCAATCGCTACAATTTAGTAATTATAGCACACATACATACAAAGAACTACCTAATCTAATATCTAAGTTTAGTAATTATAATGTTTAAAACATACATACATAATAAAATAAATGTTTTGTTTGTTCCAGATTGTGTTAACATAACTTCAACTATGATGCAACACGAACAAAACAGTGACAAGTGAAACATACGAAAAGACGATATGATATACAAAGAAATGGTGCTTATACATTAATATAATAAATACACAATAAAATTGTACACGTAAAATGACTTAGAACTTAGCAAAAACCTCGGTTCAGTTGAGTTGAGTGTTAAGTGTTGCAGTGTTAAATGTGTTGCGTTAAAATGTTGTATATATGAGTGACTGTTACGACACGGGTTGCGGCATGTATACCACGTGGTACAGCCGTGGGGAGGGGGGCATGCACCACCACCAGATGGGTCAATTGTACCACGGGGCCCCCATGATCAAGACTGAGGCTGGGGTCAATAGTGACTGTATGATGGCTGTCGATTACGCGCCCCCCATAAAGGTACGTTAGTCATTTTTATGTTTTTTAAGTAAAAAATATATTTATAAGTATATATATACTCAGTTAGACTGTATAATGAGTTCGATGTATAGTTTTAAATGGTAACAACTTCTTGATTTGTTATGTGATGTCATCACACGTTAGTTCTTGAACATTTAACATGAACATTGAACATTGTTCAAATTCTTTTTATATTTCTTGATATGGTTTTAACATTAACATATTTTAGGTAATAGTGATTTATTTTCTCATTAATCAACATTCTAATTTGAATCATAAAAATGATGATAAAGTCTCTATAATATCATATTCATGTACTAGTTCTTACCTTTGACTTCACCTGCGTAGAATTACTTATATAGTAAGAAAATTTTCTCATCTATTGAAATAATACATTTGATACATAACCGATGGCAACATCTTCTGTCCACGTCATATAAATTTATTCACAATACAACTTTTATGTCTTGATACTGCGTTAATTACAATGAATTTAAGAATAAATTATAACCTATGTCTTATTCTTATGTTTAACTAAATAACTATTAATTTTGATCAAATTCTGATTAGTAGTTTTTGCGTGAAAGGGTAACATACAAACATATATACATACATACATTCTCAAAACAATCACATTTATAAGAAAATGTTTTTATAAAAATATGACATATCAAGTAACTAACAGTCATTATATGTATAAATTCACCAAATACGTAATATAATTAAAAAAAGTCTTTACGAAGTAATCAATAATTTTAAATTAAAATATAATGGAATAGTATCTCATTCTAATTCGCTTTATTGATTTACTCAAATGGTTTCTAACACTTTTTGAATAAAAAGTTCTTATATTGGAAATGTTAAACTTATTTTTATCTTCTTCTACCTGGCAATTTCCCAGATTTAGCCAGGGTCTGCCTTACATCAACCTGTCTTTGGGAATGCATTAATCAGTGATGTCTAAATACTCTTATATAGTACATATGACTCGGAAAAATCACATTGTCTTACTCTTATATAGTACATATGACTCGGAACAATCACAGTCAAAAACTAACTATATAAATGTTAATTAAATAATATAAAAAAATTGTTGTATATTTGTCTTCTTGTATAATGCAAGCACAACACCAGTTTCAATTAATTTGTGAACCTATTAAACAATATTTTGAAATTGCTTATTTATTGCTTAAAAATACTCTTAAAACAAATGACATTTTTGAATAAGAAGTAAATGTATTTTAAATCACTTGAATTCAGTGTAGGAAAATAAAAATAATAAACAAAAAATACTCAAATGAAATATATGTAGTAGTATGATGAATAACTTTTTTTCGTAAGTGAATCTAAATCTTAGAATTGGTACACTTTCGTATTAATTCAGAGTCTTGCCCAGAATCTGTTCGTTTTTGTCTAACACACACTCATACATACACACACACACAGAGATAGGTATACATACATATAATAAAGATTTAATTCATTATTCTTAAAACTTGATACTTTATATAAATATAATCATATATTAAAACGCATTAGTTTAAATACTTTAATAATATTATATTTAAACAGTTACCTCACGTATATAATATTATAAATAATACATATATATTTCGAAATAATTATAATCAGTATAAATGCAGCTCATTAACGTCCATAGATCGATGGAGCGTGAACAATAAAAGATAAAAGAAAAAAACAAAGATACAATTAAATAAATTATGCAAATAAATATAATAAGCTAACGGTCGATTGGAAAAGAAATACTCGTATATGTAATAACGTTAGATGGAAAATGTTTTTATGGAAATTATTAAAGAAAAATCTAATTAGATATTTTTCTATGGAAATATATGAAAAATTTAATAGTTATATTAATTTATAAAGTTTAATAATGAAATCGTTCTCATTAAATAAAATCCATCTAAAAGACGAAACCTCTCATCATTCCATGTATTCACGGTGCGTGTGTCGGGTCCATCGTTGTAGAGAGGAGCTTCAACAGTGACTGGGACTTGTGACCCAGGTATAGGTTTAAGGGACCCCTATCTAACGTTAAACGCTCACCTCCACTGTCCAAGCTCCTCTCTCGAACAAATTAGAAACAAACTCACTAGTTCTGCATTAATATTCAATTATTATTTTTGAGTCTTTTTACATAAAAATATAAATATTTCAATTAATATCAGTGTTGTCTGTGAAGAATGATTTTAATCTTTTATATCTGTCATGCACCGCTCCACAGGTTGAAACTGTTCAATAAAATCTAAACAACCTGACAAGTTTTACGCACGGCTGCACTCAATTCTCTATGGTTTGGCATCGGGCGGGCGATATCTTGAATTATCTTTATGTTTTTTTTCCTTTATCTTTTTTCGACTTATCTTTTTTCATTCATTTCTATTCGGATGCGGCTTAAAACTGTCACGTTGTTGCTACGTGAACAATCATCTAGTTATCTGTTGATTTAGCCGACCGGTGAATGACCACTCGCTGACCATAACAATTAACAAAACATTAATATTTTTATTGATTTTTGAAGAAACTGTTGCTTTATTATCTTTTGTTTTAGTTTTCTTCAATAACTTTGTTTGTGTTAATTTTTTCTTTTAAATAATTTCAAAGCAATGAAAAAAAGTCCTATCATATATTTTATTTAATATAGAAAACCAACAAACGCACAAAACTACTTTGATGTATATCCAATAGAATCAACATCTTTTACATAACGATTTTATATAAATGAATTTATCTTCATCTTCTTCTACCTGGCAATTTCTCAGCTTTAGCGAGGATCTGCCTTACATGTTGTGAATAGTTTTGGCTAATTGTTTTTACGATCGGCCGCCTGCCTGGCATAAACCCTCTTTGGGAATGCATTAATCAGTGGTGTCTAAATACTCTTAGAAAGTCCTACATATGAGTCGGAAAAATCACATTGGTACTTGCCAGGGCCAGGATAGAACCCGCGCCTTCGGTAACGAGAGGCGGGCCCTTTAACCACTAGGGCACAACTGACTATATGTAAAATAACCATAGGTAGTTTTGTGCAGAGTTTCGTTACATTTTCTTACTTTTTCTTGATATTACTTAGCCAATATGAAATATATTATGTACAAACCTTGTTATGGCGATATATAGTTTTGAAAAATAATTGAATAAAAATCTCCAATATAAAAGTGAGATAATTAGTGAAGATATTTTAATTAGTCTTAATTAATAAAATAACGTAGTGTACATATGAAATATAAAATAACAACTAGACATTGGCTAGTGACTTGTTAGGTTACCAATAGCATTTTGTATTTTCACGTAAGCAGGAGAAAAATATTTTCATATTATTATTATTAATCGCGTTAGATAGGGACCTCTTAAACCTACACCTGGGTCACAAGTCCCAGTCACTGTTGAAGCTCCTCTCACTACAACGATGGACCCGACACACGCACCGTGAATACATGGAATGATGAGAAGTGTCGTCTCTATAAAAATATTGAAATTATATATCTTAATATAAATATGTTTTAACTAAGGAATACTTTCAGGGATAATTTTAATGTATGTGCTATTAAAACAAAAATATCACTAGTAACCTGAGAAACGTGTTTTATGCCAACGGTAAATGTGTGTGTGTGTGTGTGTGTGTGTGTGTGTGTGTGTGTGTGTGTGTGTGTGTGTGTGTGTGTGTACCAAGTTGAATATTCATGAACTATATATAAATGGTAGTAAGGAGTTATGTAAAGAAAACAGGCTTGTTATTTTACGGTTATACTTTACATATATATTTTTATCTCTTTGCAACTTAAGAACTGTTTTTCTACATAGCATCCTTTAATACCATATCTGTATGCAGATATTTTAATTAAACGCTGTTGTATTCACAATATATATAAATAAATTATTTATTTTTGACTTTGTGATACATTGTCTTTATAACTAGTGACGAAGCCTTTTATATGTATGTTTATCCTATTAAGTTAATACATTTACATACATATCTCTCTTATAAAGAAACCCTTCTGAAATAAAGTAAGTTTTTAAACTAAATACAAGTTTAAGAAAAGTATTTAATAACGCTAGACTGCTTTCATATATTGAGAGGAATTTAAATTGTTTTTTACTTAACTCATTAATTTAAAATTAGGAAAAAAAAAAATATATCATTGACTTTACGTCTAACCAAACATAATATGATTTAATATTCTTGTATTTTTCTGTATCTGCAATTTGTTTTTGTAAAGCTTTAAAATAAATTACTTTCTAACTCTCACACTAAGGATAAAAAAGGATGAATTTGTTAATGATTAGTCAGGTGGCCTAGTGGTTAGAGGGCCCGCCTCTCGTTGCTGATGGCGCGGGTTTGATCCTGGCCCGGGCAAGTTCCAATGTGATTTTTCGAGTCATATGTACTTTATAAGAATATTTAAACATCACTGATTAATGCATTCCCAAAAGAGGGTTGATGTCAGGCAGGCGGTCGGTCGTAAAAAACAATTAGCCAAAAACTATTCACAACATGTAAGGTAGACTCTGTGTATAGCCGGGAAATTGCTAGGTAGAAGAAGAAGAAGAATTTGTTAATGATAGTATGAGATGGAAAAGGAATAAAAATATATATGTACATAGTACATAGTAACATATAACTTGGTAATAAATATTGACACTCAAGTTGAATAACTATAAGTATAAAAGAAATAAAGGTATTTCTGTCCTTATACTAAATCTAGCAGTATATATTGTTACATAGTAACCGTATTATTTTACAAAATATTGAGTACTACTGAAGTTATTTAAGTTTAATATATTAATGCTGATACATTACTAATATAAATGAAACTAATATTTTCGGATTTACCGTGATCACGGTTGCTGAAAAGTAACCGAAACGTCGGGAGTATGTAGATTATAGTCAAAAATAAAAAACGCGTAGTAAATCCAAAAATATTAGTTTCATTTAAATGAGTGCTCGCGAAAATCATAGATCAAATTATTATCGTTAT